TATCCTAAAACATACTGAAGAGTAGTGGTTAAAAAATGCTTTTTACCAGGAAAGCAATTAGCTATAACATTAGCTACATACTTAAAGCAACAAACAGTATTTGCTAAACAGAATGCTACTAACAATATGTTATTTTATATCCTAGTTATCAGAAACAAAAAAAGAACATTACGATGACAAAGCTACATAGGAGCAAGTCCAAAATTATTTGGTTTCCTATTTTGCACAGTGCAATCCAAACCATCTGCTTCAACGACCTTGAGCATAAGACTTTAACTGATAGGGCCAGTAGAAAGCTATCTCTTTGTGGTAAGACATAAAGAGGGAGCAGTAGTTATGTGACCTCAAAAAAATGTAGTAATCAAAGACATGTGTTACAGACGGTAGTGTGGTGACTTCTCCTAGTCATGTTGAGGGCTGTAACACACAAACACAAACCACTTCAGGAACTGAACTTATATAAAAACTAAAAAATTCCCTATACAAATAAAATAGACATTTCTAATCTGAGTCCATCATTCCTGTAAAAGAATTTGGGTGGCTGACCTACTGAAGTCTCCAGTTATCAGGACAGCAGCCACCCAATGTCTCCTGTGACAGCAGCCTTCTCCCCATGTACGCTCTGGTCTCTCTTCTGCAACCACTTACCCCAACACTGCATTATCTTGTTGCTTCTCTCCACCATAGGCTGTCATCAGTAAAGCTAAGACAAACATACTCTATTTGGTCAAGACAAATGCTGCTTCTCAGTATTCGGGGCAATCAAAGAAATTGCTCTAACAGTTACACATTATGTAAATGTACTATGCCATGTAGGCTTGTCCTAGTATTCGCCAGAAGGGAACTGATTGCTATGTCAGATGTCTATGCCTGTTTAGAAAAATTTATAGTCTACTGTCTATAGAAATTAGAAATCAGTTTCCACCTCCTCTTGTGTTCACTTATTCTATATTATGCCTTTCCCTATATATGAAACATTTTAAATCCTCAAATCATACAACAGTATGTGTTGCTTTTTACCAGAATTGTTGCCCCAGTCAGTAAAAGGAGCCATATTTTAACAATCAAGCTGTTAATACTAATTGTATTTTAAGTGTCAGCACTAAGGTGACTAATCTAAATCTAATCTCTTTCTAATAAAAAAAATCAACAAAAATCAACCAACAACAATTACAGTGGCAATACAATGTTTAAAACATACCCCTAAAGAGACATCATAATCTTCTGGGGTAAAAGGCTTATCTGTCAGGTCCTCAAAGAAATCTGCTAAGGAGTCCAGTGTTTCTTCGGCCAGTTTTTCATAAGTGGTCTCATCTAAAGAGCTACAAATGACATAAAAGCCCGTAATTAGGAGGAAAAGCATGGAAGACACCATTTTCCCTTTAATAAAAACATACCAAGACCATGACCTTGGATGAAACAGTAACCATGAAATGACCGTATAAAACAAGTAGTAATTTTTCTTACGGTGATGTAGATAACAATCCACCTTATACCTGGCGGTGGAATTTTGAAATTTTTTCCTCTTAACTGAGGAAAATATACTTCTTTCCTTAGATATACTAATCCCTGTTTTAGTAAGGAGAGACAGATTTCCAAGAAAGGCATTTTCATAAATGGACCTTGTGCAAGGATTACTTAGTTTTGAACTCTACGAACAGAGACAAAACCACCTCCTGCTTAGAAATATGTCATTTGGCTCTACAAAACTTGCTGAAGCTATAAGCATTTAAGAAACATCAATATCACATGCCATGTTTGTGCACAACTGGAATTACCAACACAGCCTAGTAATTAAATGCTATTTAAAGTGTGCTTCTGAACTAATACATACAATTAAAGTCTTCTCCAGAGAGTCTCAAAGCATCCTTGTAGCCATTATGTAAGGTGTATGTAAGCACCTCTGAGACTGCTTCTGTCATCCTCTTTAGTGGAAAAAGGTCTAGATCAGTTTAACTAACCAAGTGTAATTAAATCACATAAGTTTTTCCATTTGTATTAGTGTCAACTTTTAAATGAGTGTGTAGGTGGGTATCTCTACCAACAGACAATTCAGTAAGTTCTTGCTAATGGGTATGGCAATACAACAGTTATACGGACTAAGTATCTAATATATATATCAGTTGATAATATAGAACATCGTTTTCTAAAAAAGTGTCTTGTGAGCCAGTTACTGAAATACACTCTATGCCACTTATGTGAGAGACACCACAAAAACGCCTTGGGACATGGAGAACAGAAAGCCTTAGGATCAGGTAGGATTCATGTACTGGTTCAAGATGCAGTTCAGGCACTTAATGGCAAGAGCCACTTCAGACACCCACACAATCCTTCATTGTGTCTCCAGCTGCTGCATTAGAAGGGGAGAAGCCTCTGACAGATGCTGTGTCACACCCTCTCAGCATCAGAAGAAACTTCATACCCCCTGACATACATGAAATTGTGCTAGACACCCACGTTTAGGTACATGAATTATTTCTTAAGTGACTTCCCAAATTCACACAAAATGCTTTTAGATAAAACTGCAGTTGTCCTTTAAATCACATCAGCATTAGTCTGGTAGTCTTAACATGTATATAAGTAATTTTAAAATACATAACTGATATTTTCATGAGTATCTCAAAATACATTTCACCTTGTGTCACTCAGAGTTCCTGCACTTCTCAAATTCATGAACCGAACAGTCCTGCTCTTCACATCTGAAGAATACTGTAATTGCTGTTGAAAGTAAGCAAAAGTAAAATGCAATTAGAAGTTAAAACATGAAGAATTAGAAATTACGTATTTATCACATAAATTAAATAGATCCTTGAAGTCTTTTCCATCCTCAAGTAAAATGTTCATATTCTATATCACAGAGCTAATATGGAAAGAATTATGCAGCTTTAGTCCTTGGGTGACTGAAGCAATCCAGGACACCCCTGTCTTCCTCATACAACCTAATGAAAAAACCCCATCCTTTGACTCACAGCAAAGTGAACTAGGAAAGAGAACTGCTTTCTTTTCTATTGGTCTACCACAGAAATATTGAATAACTTCAGACAACTGGCTTAGGCCCAGATTTTCACAAGCATCCACCACTCAAACACTGCAATATCAACAACTTTCGTCCCTCTGTTGGAAGCTACGAACATATTAAACTGATATAAATAGAGCCACTGAATACTTATGTATGAAAGAGCCAAAACTACTTCATATTTCAGAGCTCTCTGTAAAACAAGCAGTTTAGCTTCTAATTTCTCTTGGTACGGAGGAAAAAAAAGTACTTTAAAAACCAAAGCAAAGTTGTGGAAAAGCTGTATCAACGTACTAGCAATATCAGACAAGAAAGCAAAATGGGGATGCAATACATGGATAAAGCTGACCCCCAGACTAGACATACTAGCAGAAGCACTTATTCTATCCACCAAGAAAGAAAGATAGCACACTTGCCATTTTCTTCTTAACCAGAGCCGACTATTTGAATAAATGGTAAAAGAGCATTATTGATTGCTTTTTGTGTACTTGTGCAAGGTTGTGAAAACTAACAGACCGAGCTGAAAAGCAAGTGACATTTGAAAAGGAACTATAACACCCCCTCTTCAAGCACAGGAGAGCAAAACACAGACCCATCTCTCTCCATGGGGTTTGACATCTATCCGCAGGCACTTCAGATGAACTGTCTGTTATCCAAAACCATGACACGTACAGAAAGGACGGAGAACAGCGTCACAACGCTACAGGTCGACAAAATACACGGCGGTGCCTACGTTTCTGACTCTACCCTTCAGCAATCTTTAACACACACTTAGAATCAAAAGCTACAAGCCCAGGAATATGTTCAGGTTCTGTCCAGGCTGAGCGGCTCTACCACCATCGGTGTGTGTTCTCACCCTCGGTCCGTGGCTGGGGGCTGCCAGCCGCGGTGCCGGCCCATAGCCAGCACGGCCTCCCGCGCACGCCCCGTGGCGGTCGGGGCGGACAGCGCGTCTGCTGCGACTGGCAAGGGGCTGCAGGGCAGTGAAACAGCTCCCAGACTGTGACAGGTCCTGGGGGAGGGACGGCACGAGAAAGGGACAAGAAAAGAGGGAAGGATTGAGTGAAGGAGAGAGGGAGGGAGAGAGGACGCACCGCCCTGCCGGTCGGCCGCGGGAGGCCCGGCGCAGCCGCGAGCTCACACCAACCTGCTCGGAGTCGGCGGCCGGACCGGGAATCGCCGCCAGACTCCCTTTGCTCCCTGTCCCCCGCCCTAGCGGGCGCTCGGCCGCGACCGCCCCGCCCGCCCCCGCAGGCCGCGCCTCGCCCCCCCCCGCCCGCCTGCCCGCCCGCCCCTGTCTCACCGTGCGGCCGCGACCGGCGGCGGCCGTGCCCACCCTCGGGGCGCCCCCGGTGCCGCCGCTCCCCCGCGCCGCCGCCCGTCCCGCGGCGCGAAGCGCGCCCGCCGCCCCCGCCCGCCACATAGCGCCAGCGTCGCTGCGGAAGCGGCCGGGGCGGGGCCGGGGCGCGCGGGCACTGCCGCCCCCTGGCGGCGGCGCGCGGAGCAGCGCGGGGATGGGCCTGGTAGGGCCGTGCTCTGCCGTGTGGGAAAGGGGAGAGGTGGAAGGCGTGGGATTCCTTCGCAGTCCCTGCTGGCTCCAGCCTCAGTACCGCCAGGATTAATTACATCCAGTTGTTGTGCTATCGAGACAACACAGCCGTTTCGGGGCCGCGCGTCGCTAGGCGAGGCTTTCGCAGGCGGCGGCGCTTTCCTCTCCCGCCTTTCTCCGGTGTCCTTCCCTCGGCACTGACACGGCGCGGCAAGGCTGTCCCTGGGAAACAGGTGCTGGGCCCTGTTGTGCTGCTCAGACGTCTTTGCGTGCTTAGGAGAACTCAGGGATCCCGAATATGACCGGTGTCACAGACACAAGGAGCTGCGACGGTCACTTGTTAACACGACTGCACCTGCTGTGCCCTTGCATCTCGGCTGCTGTTCTCTCAGCAGGGAATAATCGCTCGTGGGCAAATTCCTGCTGGTGCCTGCTCTGGCAGAGCAATCGTGCTGGGTAGGTTTACAAGGAGCTGGAGCCTGGGAAGAGTAGCAATTAGAAACCACACTACACACCAGGCACTCGCTAGGGGACCTGTTCTAGGACGATTTCCTGTGACAGAGAGTATCCTGATCAATTACATCCTGTAGGTAAAATGTTACCCTGAGCTAGCGTAGTGGGCTGACCCTGGCTGGACCCCAGGTACTCACTACAGCCACTCTCTCACTCCCCTCTGCAACTGGACAGAGGAGAGTAAAAAAAAAAACAAAACAGCAAAGGGTTCATGAGTTGAGATAAGAGCTGGGAGAGGTCACTTACTGATCACCATCACGAGCAAAACAGACTGAAAGTGGGGATATTAACTGAATTTATTACTAACAGGGTCAGATTAAAAGAGTGAGAATTAAAATATTCTTAAAAACACCTTCGCCCACCCCTCCTTCCTTCCATGTTCTCCCTCCTCCCCCCTAGTGGTGCAGGGGAACAGGGAATGGGGGTTCCCATCAGTTGCTGTTTCTGCCGCTGCTCAGGGAGAGGAGTCCTTCCCCTGCTCCCTTGGGGTTCCTCTCATGGGAGATAGTTCTTCATGGACCTCTCTGGCATGAGTTCATCCCACAGGCAAAGGTTCTTCACAAAACTGCTGTCCCATGGGTCACTCCTCCATAGGGTGCAGTCCTTCACAAATGAGCTGTACCAGTGTGGGTCTCCCACAGGGGCCACAAGTTTTACCTGGGAAAAGCCTGCTCCAGTGTGGGCTCCTTTCTCCAGAGGTTGCACGTCCCTGGCAGGCCCCTGCTCCATCTTGGGCCTCCCACGGGGTCACAGCCTCCTTCATGCATCCACCTGCTCCAGCATGGGCTTCTCCATGGGCTGCAGGTGGGTCGCTGCACCCTGATGGTCCTCCACGGGCTCCAGGGGCACAGCTGCTCCACCATGGTCTGCACCATGGGCCACAGGGGCCTCAGCTCTGGCGCCTGGAGCACCTCCTGCCCCTCCTTCTGCTCTGACCTTGGTGTCCACCTTGTTGTTCGCATGTTCTCGCTCTGCTCTTCCCTGTCTGGAATTCTTTCTGCGCAATACCTTTCTGTTCTTCAGTATGTTATCACAGAGGCATTACTATCACTCTTGATTGGCTCAGCCTTGGCCAACGGCAGGAAATTTGTCCTGGAGCCATCTGGCATTGGCTCCACCGGACAGGGGAAGCTTCTAGCAGCTTCTAGCAGAAGCCACCCCAGGAGCCCCCTCGCTAGCAAAACTTAACCACAGAAACCCACTACAGCCAGTTAAGGGAAAATAAATCACATAATTTATCACACATGACATTTTCCACTGAGTTACTTAAATGCTGATGATACCATACTATTAATGGTATGTGAAGGTGTAGAGCGAATCAGCCAGACATCTCTTATTGTTCCTTAAACTGAAAAAATAAAATAGGTTTATCAAGAAGATGAGAGGTAAGAAATAATTCGTATGCAAGAGTTTCTTTAAAAACCCACACAGATTCTGCGGGAACACAGACAAATTTCACTTCAGCGCCTTCCACAGGACAGAATGGAAAGATGCAGCCATTGCAAGTAAGATCATAAATACATAAAGCATACAAGTATTGAGAAGCTTACCACTGGTTACTCTGTGATGCACTGTTATACTTATAAAACTCTTAATTAAAGTAAGCAGCTGGGGTCTCTGAGCCACCTGATCTAGTTGAAGATGTCTCTGCTCATGGCAAGGGGGTTGGACTAGATGGCCTTCAAAGGTCCCTTCCAACCCAAACTATTCTATGATCTTGCAATGCATTAGGGAATAAGTTGTTGAGTTTCTCACCAAGATTTATAACTTTATAAGATTTTTTTCTATAAGCCAGAATTATTTTATACCACACTAGGGGCAAAAGCTCAACCAAGTCAAGTCACTTGTGCAAATTTCAGCTGAGATTATGAAGTCTGTTGTACCTAGAAGTTCTCTGTACCAAACTGTTATCTAGCTTAGCCAGCCTCTTGTCTCTTTTCCACAGAGTCCTGTGTGTTTGTTACCAGTATCTTCCCTCAGACCTTGCAGAAGTTTGTGTTCTTGATGTATTTTGTGATGGAAGTTTTTATACATCAAGCAGATACAAGATACTCTCCAGTTCCTTGAAGACCAACCCATTCTTATCCTTACTGGGAGAAACTACTTATGTTTCTGCATCTATAATGATTTAGATACTAAGATAAGGCCTGTAGGGACAAGTGACTTGTATCAGACAACAGAATACATTAGTAAAGCAAATGATTGATTTTTTTATATCTTGGTAAGGGGAGGGGAAAGCAGCTGGAAGAATGGAGGAATCTTTTATGTAGCATTTAATCTACTTAAAGATGGTGCTTATTTACATACCTTGCCATTCCTATATAAAGAGTCTCAGGCATTTTCTAATATTATCTAAGTAGTTCCACCTTGATTTTTCTCTAGTCATCCAAGGTCATACACGTCTCAATATGAAATGTTTATTTTCTGTTTCTAAGTTAATGCTAAATCAATGACTTAGTGAGGATTAAATATTTTCTCTGGTATTAGCAATTTCATTTACCAAATATTTAAAAAATTTAACAACAATTAATTAATACGTAAAGTTCAAGTTAATGAACTTCACAGAATACTACTTCTAAGCAAGTATCAGTCACAAAACTTAAAAAGGGATCAAGTTAGGGATTAGCAATTTTAACAATGATTTCTTAATGTTTTTCATCTTAATCCCTGTCCCCTGGGTTAATGTTGTTCATACCACAGTACTGGTATCAATATCTTTTTAGGCTAGTGTAAAATACCTGTGAAGTAGTCCCAGATACAAAAGTGCTGCAGAGTCAGGTCCTACACATTCCATCTGGGAAGAGCTGATATTGTTCATATTTCAAGTAAATGCATGCACCACTGGAAATGGATAAAAAAATGGCTTCTATGAAGAACAGGTAGAGTGCCGATTACTCTTTTGTCATTGTCTAGTTTGGGAAAATACCATTGAGTTATATGAAATTAAACTGCCTGAAGTATAAGCTGAGTCAACAAGATAGTTTTTGGGGGGGGGATAGTTTTTTTTCAAACCATTGAAATATAGTACAAGGGCATGAAGTTAGGGTGTTTTTCTATTTGTTTGCATGGTTGGTTGGTTTGGTTGGTTTGTTTTGTTTTTAATTGAGGACAATTATTATATGCTACCACCAAAGGCAAAACTTGACCTCTCAATGCCATATGATTAAGTCACAGGATCAGATATACAAATTTGGAATTATTCCCTACCTTTCTCTAAGCAGGCATCAACCTGTGCTTTTTCATTCTGGGCAGCTTGCAGGGCCAGAGCAGTCAGATACCGCTGCCCACAGTTAGCCCATGTCTGTGACCTAATTCTTCTCTTCTCCCTGTGGTGAATTCCATCTGTTTAGACCTGGAGAAATAGACCAATGTGTTACTTTAATACCCCAGGGAGTTGATTATGCCTTCTGTATATATTTTATTTTACTTGACATATCCTGCTTCATCAGCTTTATAGGTATGTTTAAAAGTCTTTTTCATCAAATGCTACCAACGCAAAACACCAATGCAAGATGAAGAGAACGAAAATACTTAAACATGAAACTTGCACATCCCTACAAGCTCCTGTGCTCTTTGATGTTTGAAACTTCGTATAATTTCAGTGCTAGAGAAAAAAATGGATTCTAAATTGTTGATCATTAATTTAGCTTAACATTGCTTAGCTGTAATCTCCATTCCCTCTCAGTGGAACTGTGTAGTCACACATACACACAAGAGTTTTAAGTGCACATGCTTTGGAGAGGGTTTTCCCAGCAGGCTCCATAGTCTACACAGGATTTCTTTTTACAAGTGTTAAATGACTGTCTGAATTTATAAATTACCATGTTGAAGAGACTGTATACAAAGGATGTCTCAGTCTCTCGATCATTATATAGACATTCTGGTTTTGGACAGAATTGTTGCAGTTGTGTGTCCTCTAGTGTCTTCCTAAGGACAATGATTCAGACACTACAGTCTGCTAGGTAATTGGGGAAAAAGTAATGTGTGTTGTTCGTGAAGGTTAATCTGATTCTTAAACTAGTAAATTTAATGTTTTTCCCAAAACTGGACGAATCACAAGTATCTGCTATCCACAGAGACACATTCTAAATATTCTGTACACTGTGCATGAAGGAGCAGACACTTGACACAGATGCACAAAATGTTTTTGCTCACAGGGCATGCAGATTAGTCTTGTATTTCTCACAGGAATACTGCAGAAAAATTATCTTGCTGAGATTAAGCGGTATAATTTTAAAGTCTGGAAAAGTGGTAATCATGAAGCAGAGGCTCTAAGTTAAGCCACAGAGTACACAGTTAGAAAGAAAAAAACCAACCTTTTGACTTCTCTATTCTGTGCATAGTTAAGGAATAATACCTTCTTACTTGTCAGGATTATAGGATTACATCAAAGTAAAACAAACAGAAGCAACCCTCCCCCAAACCAAAACACACCCCCCCCCCCTACACCAAATACTTAAATGAAAAATTCTCCAGAGGTACACAGCATAATTCTAGGACTTAAAATGCCAAGTTCTGGGTTTTCAACAGGTTTGCTACGCTTACTCCTAGAAGAAACGTTATTACCATTAACTTTGGTAAGCTTTCAAAATGACACGTGTGTAAATTTTTAAATGCATCACTGCATCCAAGCATGAAATCTGGTGTTAGTCACTGCTGTTTGGGATTCCCTCTGCTGCTTAGAAAATTAAAGAACTGGAACAGTTTTTATATTTATCTTAAAATGATTGCCCATACTGAAAAACCCCAAATGCTTTTATAAAGCAATGTCTCTTGAGTATGTCCTTCTGCCTTTCCTGCTCTAATTTCAAGATTCCCCTTTTCATTATAGAACTGGTAATAGATAAAGACAGATGCCCTCTTTGTCATATCTCAAGACGCCTCTCAAAACCATTTAATGAAGATAGAGAAATGCCAGAACAATAAGTCCAGTATAGAACAAGTGCAAGTTGAGAGCTGTATTAGTCTTTAGAACAAAATATTTTATTCATCAATAAAACTATAGTTCACAGTAGCACTTACTAAATAAATTATAGAATTTCTCTTTTACAAGAAATAAACCAAAATCAAAAATATTTCAAAGGCAACATATTTACACAACATAAGGCCTTGTTATAAATAACATTTTTTTCTCCTTTTTATGAACAGCAAAAGTATATTTAGAGGCTCATTTTCATATAGTATGTTCAGAGGTTTACCCTAACTCTTGTGATATCAGTTCCAATTTCCATTGATGTGGACTTAAGAGATTAGAACTGAGGGGTCAAAACAAATGAAATTAATTTTATTCATAATTGTGCTTATTCTTAAATAGGTAAAGCAGATAATAGATTTTGCTTGTGCATAGTTACAGAATGCATGCAAATGAAACCACTAGAGACCCGATAAGAAAATATTACTTCCAAGTCCAAAAAAGGTGATTGGCAATATAGTAGAAAGCAGCCTTAATACACAGTTCTTCACAGTTCAGCAACAGCAGATGACAGCAGAATGTGGAATGTATCATGTCATTTCTTCCAAGTCCATCAATCCTTTCTGTGGTTCAAAGATCCTGACACTTCTTACAATAAGTTCAGTTGATTATTACTCCTTGTCTATTAGGCTCAGCAAATTTCTCCTTCTTAAATGAGGAGTGCAGAAAGTGCTCTTCATTAACCATGGTCACTTCTCTTAGTTTTCCTCTTCGCATATTCTTTTTACTGGAAATACAGAAATGATAAATAAAGTCAAGAGTTGTGTTTATTTGTTTTCTTACAGAATTATAAACAGGTGACATCTTTCTTCCCCTAAAGAGGCTGCAGAACAATTTGGCAGTGATTCTTTTCTTACCTTGACCCCTAATCAGAAGCATTGAAGTCTCTTTTCTCACACAACAGATAACCCCTATGGATTTGCAGACCTTGCAGTATACTTATATTACCTGAACTAGAACTACTTGCTGCTGCAAAATGCTGAACACTCTGGACATGAGAGAAGACAGTACAAACTGAGAGCACTCAGCAACTCACAAGAGCTTTTTTTTTAATCTTGAATTGACTGTGACCTTTATTACTTAAAAGTGTAAGTGGAAAAATGTCAGTCTTCATAGTCATGAATAAAAGTCCTGTTAGCTTCTGCATGATACCCTTCCCCAGCTGAAAAATCATACCTGCCCAAAAACTTTCAGACACAACAAATGTTCTAGTCGATGTTGTAGCAATCATTCCATTTCACAAAAAAAATTACTTAATAATGTTAATGGGTTAGAGTTTTCTACAGTACCTGTTACAGAACCAGCGGTTCTGTAATACAAATTATTAATCACTTCTAAGCATCTCTATAGAGTCAGAGATATGTTGAAGAGAAACTGACAGCTGAATAAAACATTTCAGTAAACTGAAAGCATCTCAGCTAATATATCCAATATGGAGCAAGAAACAAAATCAAAACAAAGAAGTCTGTAGTGACCTTACTCTAAAACCTTGTTAAAAAACCTAACAAAGGTGTAAGTTCCATTTATTCAATAGACTTTGAAGGTCAACTTTACATTTTACTTGTCAATACAAGCACTAAACTAACCTTTAAATAGTTTGACAACAGTCTAGCCTTAATTATAAGCTAAAAATATCTAAAGGCATTTCTAAAGCTTATCTTAGAGAAAGGTAACTACTAGATTTAAATCAATATTTTAGTTATGACTTCTAGCTCTTGAATTTTAGGAAATGAAATTTCAATATTATTCTATGGCAACATTTAAACTTCCTACTGCACCAGTGTTAGGGTGTTCATAATCATTGATGCTAGTGAGCACAGTGCTAATTTCTCAGGGGCTGTTCTCTCTCTCTTTGTAATGTGGTTTGGCAATTAAAGTCTATCCACCGCTGTATTAGCACCTGAATGTGCTAAGGGAGTAAAGTACTTATAGGATGCAAACAATTTAATGTGCAAAGGGAAACTGTTGGACAAGTGAATAAAATCTAAAAAAAAAATTATGTTCTAAAATCAATATGATGCAAGGTTAAAAAGGATTTTTTTTGTTTTGGTTTTTTTTTTTTTCAAGAATTAGTTTGGCAAAAAAACTTGAAAAATGCTAGTACTGATAAACAAAATAATGTTGTATGAAGCCAAGACAAATTAATCAAAATTTGCACTAGCACCATCTAGTTTCTGTCTGAAAGCTCAGATCCGAATGACTGCAGGTCCATTTCTGACAGATGGTCACTCAGCACAACTTCTGACCCTCTGGACTTAATACACTTTTCACTAAGGAGACTAGCAGTGTTGCCGATGTTAGCTTTATGCTATTCCACTAATTATGCAATGGAATTATGGCTAGCTTATACTTGTTCTTGCTCCCTTTCCTCTGATCCTTCCAAAGCATTTCAGAGTGACCAACGATGGAAAAAATTCCAGTAAAATTTGCATAACAGAGTTGGAGAAAAGAGATCTAACAGGAACTTGTAGCAACTGCTAACTGTGAGTCAATTGCAGAAATGCTGTTGATGGTCCTGATGCAATTTTAATGAGATGGGATTTTCGGATGTTCATATTTATGAACAGGTACAGTCCATTACTGTACATATTACTCTGGAAAACACTCCATCTATTTCAAGGGGCAGGACATGATCCTCTAAGCAACTTTGTATCCACTGCACAATTTTTGGGGTTACCTTGATTGCAGATAAAAGAAACATTTTTTATTTTTTTATTACAACTGATTTTGGCCATAGCATTTTGGTCTAAAATGATAAATAATGCACAAATGACACTACAGGATGCATTCCTATAATCACTGTCTCAGATGTCTCACATTGAGTATATAATGGATTTACAGTGTTTGAGCCTACTTGAGTCTTTTTGTATTGGAGCATTTTTGTGCTCCAGTTCTCTTTCCATGGATATGTTTTTGAGCTGATTGATTACCTCATAAGGTGCTTTAAAAACTTCAGGCATGAGAACATGTAGTTCAGTGACAGTATGTGCTGGCATTTTAGCACTTGGCTTACTCAAGCAACATATTGCTTGTAATCTGAATTGGTACCTTTTTAATCTAACCAAGCACATAATTCCCATATCTGATTTTTATGCAAGAGTGACTGAAATGTTCCTTTTTACATAATATTGCTTCTACAAGAACACCTCTGCCAAACTACATTCAAGTGTCCATTTTTTTTTTCACATCACACCAGGCTTCAGTTGTATGAGAGACATAGGCCTCTTTTCTTTTTAGGATCATGCATGGATGAATACAGGGATAAATAACAGGATAGATAACAGAGGAAAAGAGCAGTTAACTTCACTGCATAAAACAAGTAGGTTTGCCCCCTTCAGCCTTAAACAAGATTCTATTTTGAGGAGAGTGCTTGATTGGTTCCATTATGGGCACGTAACATTCTAAGATTAGTATGCTCTCAGGGATAAGAATGTCTGTAAGCAAGGACGCCTTAATTCCTTTCCCATAGTCCCAGAATTCAGGTTCAGTCCACTGTGTTTTGCCATCAGTATCTTCAGAGTAAATGGTGAGGCAGAGAAATTGAAGCCTCCATAAAGAACATAGCAAAATTTGAGGTATGCTGCACAGTGCGATGTACAACTTTTAGCTTGTTTTTACATGTATCCTGTCTGGGAACTGCTTTAATTTCAGCTGCACTTATTACTCCACAACAGCACCCTGAAGAAAACTAAACCATGACTAGAATTTAATTGAAAATATGGGAGTGAGTACAGAAGAAAAGGAGTACTGAAGAGTAAGAAGAGTCGGACAATTTTGACAGTTTCTAAACAGGCATTTTATAGATCAATATTTATAAACCTGATTACCTTGCATCTACATCAGCTTTAAAATACATAATTAATCTCCAGCAATGTTTTAATACATCCAAATTCTGTAATAAAACTGGCATTTGCACACAACCCACTACCTAAGTAATTTTAAATGTAATAGTATGACCTACACAATTCATCTGACGCAAATCATAGATACACTAACCAGACTCTAAATACACTGGGTTTGCTCATCACTGGTTATTCCTTTATTTTATTTTACTGATCCCTTATCAATCCCTATCTTCAGTGGCAGTAACTTCTAAATTATATACAAATTTTGTGAGCCTTTCCTGGCAATCTCTATTTCCATGTGAAAACTTCTATACTACCCAAGAATCTTGCATTGTATTTAAATATACAGAAGTATTCTTTAAATTGAACCATTTAAAAATCGTTCACTAATGATATCCTATAGGCAGGATATATATTTATTTATTTATTTATTAAATCCTATATTTACCACCAGATGATTAAGATAAACAGCATCACAGTTGAACAAACTTTAAAGTTTGTTGTTGTGCTATTTGCATGCATGTCCTTGTTCTGCTGGAAGTGTAAAGGAAATCAAGCATATTTGAAGTAAATCAATTAAAGAAATGCCTAAGCCTTACTACTCTGATTTTACTGATATTGTAGTTTGACAAAATAATATGTTCAGCTACCTTTATAAATAATTTTATGGGAAGGCTAAGAAAACACAGTAGGATAGTTTATAATTGCACATGTTATTTTTTCAGAGACAGAAAACTCAATCAAAGGATTTGAGACTTCACTGCAGAACAGAAGGAACAGGGTGATTTTAAGTTATTCCTTATTTTTTAAGTGAAATTATGATTTTTAAGGCACTCCATAGTAAGAGTGGACTAAAGTCGTCAGAATTGGTTGCTCTTGCTGATCATAGATCACTCTTAAGAACCTTTTGCAGGATTTGACTTGTATTTTTTCCTAATCAAATTCCATAGAATACTATGACTGTCGTGTTCAATAGCATTTGCTGACATTTAATGCTTTCCTGCTTATATATCATCTGACAGTGCCTGAACCGACACCAACAAATAAAGCTTCAGGGGAATTTAAACAGGAGACTAAGTTTATTTCCAGAAGAAGGAAACACTGCTTTAATCTGTTGTTTTGTGGATTTATATATCAAAGTGCTAAATAGAAGAGTGTTATCTTCTCTGCTTCTGACTTATATACAGGAAACCTATTTATCTCAGATGGCACCTTCTCTTTCAAAGTATTGGATCTATCATTGTATTACATACCCATAAAAGCAAGAAGCCTTTAATGTTTTAAAGGTGTGCAGAGTGATGCCTTAAGCCCCTAATGGGTTTTTTATTTTTCTAATATTTGTAAGCCCTTATAAGTTTTATAAGTAGATTTTAAAAGCAGTAACCCTCACTCCCTTGTCCCTTTCCCTGTAGCACCCTTGTTTACACATTCCTTAACCCTCTTACCCCATTCTATGCTCCCTATATCACTCCTACCCCCGAATCCAGTAGAAATGTTTACTCTTTTGTCAAGGCAAGGCCTAGATTGTTTGGAGAATGCTTGTATCTTGGCCTAAACCGCAGAACGCGGTCAAAAACTGGGTGACTATGTACCCTTTGTGCTCTGAAGATGATGAGACTGATGAAGAGGTGGTCCCGAAATACACCCCAGACTCAATTCTCAGGGGGTGGACCCGGGGCAGTCCAGAGTAAAGGCCACAGGGTGGACACATTTGGGATTGGATGGATGGTGTTATAAAATGTAACATCTCGGGCACAGCGGGCACACTTGTAAAATCTTTTGCCTTGGCACAATAAACCCTTTCCTTATCTCACCCCTAATTAACTGCTCCGGAGATTTTTTTTAGCACCAGCCAAGCAGGCATCAAGAGAAACATTTAAAATTTCCAAGTATTTTATATATCTGCTTCTATCTTTCTGTGCTATTTAATTGATAATTAAAATTATTTGTATTGATTACTCAGTATTTGTTTCCCACTCTACGGTACTAGAATATTTGGAAATAATTTAGATTGGCTTATATCTGCTGCTCATTGCAGATGATGCTTGGTCATATTTTAGTCATAAAAGCAAGATTTCTGAAGCCATTATCTGGGTTAAAAAATTTATGAGAAAATAAACCAGTGGTATTTCAAAGTCAAATTTGGATTTGAGGATGCTCCTAACAGTGCTGCTTAGAGTGGCAGATGCACAAAATGCTGGTTTGCTGAACTTGGTCTTTTTTCAGAACTGAGGAATTCTGAGCCCAGACCAGCATTCAGTTGTGTACTCAAGATATCTCTTCACCTGTGTCCTTGACCAAAACCTGTTGCTGTTACCCGGTAAATTCCCAGTTTTGACATCAGCAGCACAGTGTGAATCTGCAGTAATATCCCAAACCAAATACTCTGACTTGTAAGAGAAACTTTTGCTTTTACAACCTCTGTTCCACCCTACCTTACTTGACTGTCTGAATTTCCCCATAACACCGTTTAGAAAATGCCATTTTAAAGCTGCTTTTAACAGTAAATGAACAATATGTAATTTTATGACAATTTTTTTTCTTTTCTTTTGCAGTCAGGGGACCAGAAATTCATAGCTCTTAATTTACTAGAGGATAAAAATTTGTCTGAGAAGTTTAGCATTTCAAAGCAGGAGGCAAAGACATCAAAGGATTAGTGATGACTGAAATTAAGCAAGTAAAGATATTTTTCATTATAATATATAGTGGGTAAGACTACAGCAGTTTGCCTTGTAATAGAAACACAGACAAGGCTTATTAATTACAGAGTTAAAGGAAAATCTGGGAATGCCATTAAAAGCTAAATTTTTCTCCTCATGCTTTTAAAAGGTCAAAATGTACCTTGTAGCCTTTTCTATTGAGGTTTAGATCAGCTAATGCAGACATCATTGATTTGCTTTATTTTTGAGACATACATTAGCAATGACTGGGCTAGTGTTCTCAAAAACATGCATCTTTTTCTTCTAGCATGCATTTAATCATCCTCCTACAAAAAAAAATCTGCCTTCTGCTCAGCACTACTGAATCAAACTGATAACAAACACCACTTTATAACTGATAATACTTTAGTATCATCAGGTTTTCCCAAACAGAGGCTAATTGTTGTTTCCGGATCCACTGAAGGGTATTGCAGGGCATTAGGAAGAAACAGATTAGTAGAAAAAACAGTATATTATTCCTTTTTTTTCCACAAACACCTCAGGATAGATACAGGGAACATGTGATTAAATTAAAGCTCACTTCCACAGCAATCTCAAAACAGTTAAATAGCATCCATACAGTGTGTGGGACAAGAGAGAGAAGGCAGGGGTAAGTAACTGCTCAAGATGAGTTTGCCACTTAAGACATAAGATGTGCTTAGCCATGGTATCCAATTTTCTTGAAGCTGTCAGCTGTTGCATACCTAGATAGTTCAAGTATGTGCCACTACCCTGATTATTGAATTTTGGGGTTTGTTTTTTTTTTCAGGATGCAGAGAAAAGTGTTGCTAGGTCAGAAGAAGCATCTATGATTCTCTCCACTTAAGACCTATTTATACTTTCAGACCTTTGCTAAGGTGAATAAACACTGGGTATTTGTATAACATCCAGAGTTGGGTTTTAATTATTTTTCTGTTGATAATTCATCAGTGGAATACACATACACTTACTGCAGTCTCCCAAACATAATAGTAATGAATGTTTTACAAGCCAAAAACTAACTAAAGAGATCACCATCACACCTGAAACTCATACAGACAGCTTTAGAGAAGGTATTACCTATGTCTGTCACTGGAATTTCAGAGCATTCCACCATCCACACTACAGACTTCAAACCCAAAAAGAACTACTTCACAGTGCTAAGCAGTGTTAGTGATAAACAAGATTGTTGTTTTATAAACTAAATTCAAAAGCTGTCAGCAACAAATGGTTTCACTGTTTAAATGGGGCCAAGAGAACTACAGAACAGCCCAGGCTGAAGGGACTGCAAGAGACCATCTAGTCCAACCTTTTGCAGAAAAGGGAGCCTGGATGAGATTATCAAGTAAGTTAAGACCTAACTCTCTCAGTCTTTCCTCAAATGGCGCGTTCTCCACATCTTTGATCTCTTTGTGGCACTCCTTTATACCCTCTTCAGTCTGCCCACGTTTTTTTTAATTGTGCGGACCAGAGCTGGACATGCTATTCCCTGTGCAGTCTGACAAGCACTGAGACTGTTTCTTAAAAACTCCTAGCACTCACATGTTGCTTTGCTCTTCACACATGCTTCCCATTAAAGCCCTCTCATCTGGGCTCTGAGTATACTGAAGCTGGCATGTCTAAAATCCAAGGCCTTTATCCTACTACTGGTCTTCACTATGCTTAGCAGGACCTTAAACTCCACAATGTTGTGATTGCTGCATCCAAGGTTATGATTTGAAGTTATGTTGTCAAGTATGTCTTCATTTTATGAGTAGTAAACCTAGCAACACACTGTTCCTACTAAGCATGACCAGCACCAGGTAGCAGGATGCAGACCTCATGTATTCCAGGAACCTCATGGACAATTTGTGCATTGCTGTACTGTTCTCCCAGCAAATCTCTGGGTAATCAAAGTCACCTGTGATGCCCAGGTTCTGTTGGCTCAATACTTGCTTGAAGAGACAAAGTAAAGTTTTGTTGGCCTTGTCATCTGGTTGGAAGGCCAGTAACATACATCTAACATAATATTCTCTTAAGGCATTCTATACACCTTTTGTGGTCTCCACAGCTTACCTTCCTACACTCAGATTTCTCTTTTTTTTAATGAAGTGCAACTCCATCTCCTCTCCCCATCTTTGCAAAAGAGTTTGTAGACATCCATTGTGTTCTTCCAACCATGTGAGTCTTCCCACCAAGATCCTGTGATTCCTATCACATCATAACTCAGACTGGGCATGGAGCTGCAGTTCTTCCTCTTTGTTGCCCAGACTTCATGCACTGATATACATGTGCTTGAGGTGGTTGGACTCAGGGTTCTTGCCTTTGTAAAGTGTTGGGAAGTATTCCCCATTATTCTAGCACACCTAGATGCGCATCCTTGCTGTTGCTTATGAGTGTATAGGTGTTACTGTTACAGCTCTGGACCCTATCCTTAAGTTCTTTAGTTAAAAGCATAGTTCATTTAAGTCAGCCAATCTGCTAGCAAGGTAAAGTTGTGTGTGATTAGTCATTTGTTCATTTCAGGGTTTCTGAGTCCCTCTTAACAGACCATTTTGGTCAACATTAGACCAGCAGTGAGCCCAATTAACACAAGTCTTACAGGCATAGGCTGATCTAATGGGCTACTTGAGTTCACAGTTAACTAAGTCAATTCTACATATAATTGACCACTGGTACTTGCTACTGTCTTGTTTCAATGGAGGCAGGACAGACAACAACTTTCCTAAGTGTGCTGGACTATTAAATTAGTAGTAAGTGGGTACTATAGATATTCAAGTGTTGCTGGCTAAAAAGAAGAAAAAAAAATCAGTGATACAGCCTACAGAGAAAAAAATGTGACAAACATGTTTCATCTCGACGAAAGATCAGATACAAACATGTTTCATCTCAACAGAGGAAAATTTTCTTCTGGACAAATAATTAATCACTGGGAAAAACATCTGCAGGGCTGTGGTAGAGTCCTCATTGCTGGAGGTTTTCAAGATGGAATGCAATGGGGTACTAGATAGTCTTATCTAGGTTCCCTTTTCCAGGAAAGGTTGAACCAGATGATCTCTTGAGGTCCCTTCAACCTGCGCTGTTTTATGACTCTAAAATATTCTGGATTTCTTAAAACAAAGATTAGGTAACTAGAGATAAGAAAAATAAAGAATGTAATCAGTTCAACATGGAGTATTCAACATCAAGAGGAAAGATATTATTGGTTTTGGTTTGGATTTTTGTGTGGTTCCCCCCCCCCCCTCAAATGGAAAACAAATAACAGGAAAAAAACTCCTACAATTAGAGAAAAACCGAAAGGCATTTTGGCATACTTCATTATTAACACAATGGTTAATAGGTACATAGATTCTGTAGGGATTTGCTTTGGTGGGGTACTTAAGCATATGTTTCATCTGAAAAATACCTCAATGAACCTCTAGATCTTGAAGTTAAGCAGGTATTTTAGTCACTTTCTGAGCCTGAGTTAAAGAAATTACAGGAGAAACTGTTTGACAACTTACTAAGTAGACATCCAAAACTGAAGCATTATCATTTTCCATTTCCAATGTGCTCTGTTCTGAAGTCAAATAGATGGCACTGTCTTCCAAAGTGAATGTTGAACTTGAAGGTAACCCTTTACTGCAAAGAGAAGGGAGACTAAATCAACCAGAAATCAAAGTTACAGAGAGCTCAGTCATAGCTGAAAATTTAAAAGTAAGTTTCTCTCTTAAACATAAAAATCTTCAAATACTTGAAAAAAAGGAATGTAAATGAACAAATATAAATGTTTTGGCAATGGCTAGATAACTGGAAGCTCTATTTGACTAACACAGACACACCACAGTTTTTATTTTTGCATTAACTAAAATTTTATCAGAAAGTAATGCTGTTCCTGAACTATATTTATTTAAAGAATGAAACTGTCATAGTAAATGTGACATAATTTCATTAATTTCAAATTATGATACTTCCACATTACAAATGGTATAAATTTTGGCACCCTTTCTTAATTCAAAATAGAGAAGATTCGGCAATTAGCACAGTAACAGTGGACTTTTTCATGCAGACACAGGACACTTGCAGCTAAAAGTTCAGGAGGAAAAGTGGGAGAAGAACAAGAGCATAATGTAATTGGTACAGCTTTGCAAGGAAGTGGTGTTTACAGAGCAGGTGCATTGTATTAATAGAAGCATATGTATTAATAGAATCAATAAACGGTCAATTCTGTTCTCTTACTTGACATTGCTTACGACAGAACCACTTGACTGAGAAGCAGCTTCATGGAATGGAAACCAGCTGTCTTCTGACAAAAACAAAAGCCTACATTTGCTGAGTAACACGTCACATTTCTCCTTTTTTTCCCCTTTTCCTTCCCTTTTTTAGATCAAGTTCTTTTTGCCCTGAAAAATACAGCCATTTTCCCTTCCCCACTACTCTTTCATTCATACTTTTACTAATTTCTTGTTCACACTGCTTGGATAGCACTTTGAGTTTCCTCTAACTGTTCAAGGACTGAGGAATAATTTGGTGAAAAATAATCAGCTTGCAGCCTGGAAAAACACTGTATGCTTATGACTGCTGCTCAGTTTCTCTTTTTCACTTTAATCACAACTCCCCAAATGCTGCTCAGCATTATCTACCAATTAGTTATGCTAGTTCTAATATGTACCAAGACAGGTCTACAAAAACACTCCTCACAAGATGCAGCCTCAGGAGCCGGCCCTGGCTCAGCAAGTCACCTCTGCCTGCTCAACCTCATGGGCAGCAGCAGTTCTTCACTTTCTACTGTGAGAGCTGAGCACCCTCAAGGAGAGATGACGCTGATCTCCATTCTTATGTTAAGGGCCATTTCCCTCTCCTTGAGGAAG